ACACACACACACACACACACACACACACACACACACACACACACACACACACACACACACACACACACACACACACACACACACACACACACGCACACACACACACACGCACACACACGCACACACACGCACGCACACACACACACACACACACATACAGTCAGTAGGATTTTTGGGGTCAGTAGGATTTGTTTTAAAATAAGCTTCTCCTGCTCACCAAGGCTGCATTTATTTGATCAAAAATACAAGACAAATTGTAAAATTGTGAAATGCGATTACACTATAAAATAACTGTTCAAAAGTAGTTTAGCATTTAATTTAATCACTTATTCCAGTGATTTTAATAATGCATTTTCAGATTCATTACTCCAGTCTTCAATCACATAATCCTTCAGAACTCTAATATTAATAGTAATTATTATTATTATTATTATTATTATTATAATAATAATAATAATTATTATTATTATTAATGGTAATAGTCATAAAAGCAATAATGATTGGAGTAATAATATAATTTAAAACTACATACAATAAGTTAATTTTTTTAATTTAATAAATGCTGCCTTGATGAACAGAATAATTTTTTTGGGAAAAAAAAAAAAACTTACCCCAAACTTTTGACTGGTAGTGTGCATATATATTATTTTAAATATTATATATTTTCTTCTGGAGGAAGTCTTATTTGTTTTATTTCGGCTAGAATAAAAGCAGTTTTAATTTTTTTGAAACCATTTTAAGGTCAATATTATTAGCCCCTTTAAGCTATATATTTTTTCTGATCGTCTACAAAACAAACCATCATTATACAATGATGCCTAATATTGTCTAAATACCCTACTTTAAGCTGTATAGAAGTGTCTTGAAAAATTTCTAGTCGAATATTATTTACTGTCCTGGTAGAGATAAAATAAATCAGTTATTAGAAATGAGTTATTAAAATTATTATATTTGGAAATTTGTTGAAAAAAATCTCTCCATTAAACAGAAATTTAGGGACAAAATAAAGAACGGGCTAATAATTCTACAGTACTTCAACCAGCTTGATCTCACGAGGAAACGTAAGTATTTTACGTTTTGCCAGTTTAGTGGCGAATTTGTTAAATCATACAAAAATGTACTATTTAAAAAAGGAGGCATGGCAACTAACCCCACCCCCAACCGTCATTGGGTTAAGAGCAAATCGTACTAAATTGTACAAATTAGATAATACGAATTCATACGAATTAGCCACTAAATCAAAAAGCTACGAATTGCCATAAGATTTCGTTGAATTAAACTGTATATATTTTTTTTCTTTTAAAGCAACTTTTAAAATAGATAAAAGCATAGTCAAATTGTCTAAAATGCTTAATGAACAAAAAACACAATTCAAGAGGTAGTAGGCCTAAAAGTGTTTACATTTGTGTAATTTATAATGACATTTTACTGTATGTGAATGACATATATTCCAGTTTTACTTAAAAAAAAGTTGACCCAGATTCAAGATCATCCACACACAATATATTTAGTTCCAACATTTTAGTAACCCATGGCCATGATCTAACAATTAATTCCCTTGTTGTACTTCAATCAGAAAAAGAGAAGAACAAAACAGCTGAATGTGGCCACAAATTTGACTGCACTTTATTTAGTGCTTGTGTAATGGTATACAAGATATGAGGGTTAAGGTTAGGTTTAAAGTAGGTTTAGGGATACTATCTACTACCTATAGTAATTATTTAATACTGTGGTAATTACAAATTATGCACATTCAGAACAGGACTGTAATAAAAGGCAACCAAATTGTGGTTATAAGTGACCATGGACCACAAAACCCTAAGCATAATTTTTGTGGGGAAATTGAGATTTATACATCATCTGAAATAAATCTGAGCTTTCCATTGATGTTTGGTTTATTAGGATAAGACATTATTTTGTCATCAGCTTTGGTCAAATTAAAAGAAAATTAAATACTAAGAAAATCACCTTTACATCTGTCTAAATTAAGTGCTTAGCAATGACCATTATTGGTAAAATTAAAAAAAGCAGTTTAAATATGTTTACAGTCAAAAACTATTTTATATTTAATCCACTTAACTTTGTAAAAACAATTAAGTTAACTTAATCTATTTGTGTTGGAACTTTTTGTACATTGCCAAAAAAAAAAAAAAAAAAAACTGAGAAAAATAAGAGGTTCCAGGTTCACATTGTTGTAAACACACCATTTTGTTGTACCACACTTTACTTAAATAAGGTAATCAAAGAATAAGCAGACCAAATTTGTGGCCACAATGTCACTCTAAATATTTTATATATACTTTTTTCCAACTGCACAAAAGCTTGCTGTATCTGCACATATAAACACACATTGTCTATCTCACCAGTTCTTGAGCTCATGTGCTTTTGTGAAGGTGAAGTGTGAAGAAGACGCTCCCTTCTTTTCTTCCCTGTCCTTTTTCTCTCTGGCTAAACCACCCAAGAAAATAATGTGACAGTGAAGGAGTGAAGTGCAGGTCTATTCATCAATTACGTAAGTGCTCCTAATCCCTCTGACAGATCGGCAGGAATCATCCCTCAGTATACAGTGTCATGGTAAAAGCTGAGGATATGGTTCAGCATACGGCTCCACAGTTATTACATCACCTCAATGGGAAAGGTCTCCAGGCTCCATCTGTGCAAAAGCTTCAGGGTTGTTAGTGTTTCGCTGTTCTAGGTCTTTAAGGCGAGAAACTGCAGGGAAAAATGATTGGTCATGCACTCGACAATTTTTAGATTTTTTTTTTTAGCTTTTTCAGTTTTTTATCTAATGGAAACAAACATTAATCTATATAATATTTCAACCATTAGAATGACCAGTGGTGTGAAAAAGTATTTGCCATCTTACAGATTTTTTCGAACATTTTTGTCTCACTTTAATGTTTCTGATTATCAAACTGATTTAAATATTATTTAAAGATAACATAAGTAAACACATCATGGAGTACTTATATGAAGAAAACCAAAAAAAAACAGAATTACATAGTCCAGTGTGAAAAAGTGTTAGTGACTTCAACCTGAAGTGAACTTGGTTTCAGCAGCAGGACAATGATCCAAAGCACAGACGCAAATGCACATCTGAATGGCAACTTGAAAAACAGAATAAAGACTTTGAAGTGGCCTAGTAAAAGTCCTGACCTAAATCCAATTGAGAGGCTGTGGCATAACCTTAAAAAGGCAGTTCATGCTTGAAAACCCTCCACTGAAGCAGAATTACAACATTTCTACAAAGATAATTGGGCCAAAATTCCTTCGAAAAAAGCTTGCCTGCAGTTGTTGCTGCCAAGTAACTGCCAACTAGTTTTTAGGTTTAGGGGCAAACAGTTTTCCATATAGTGCTATGTAGTTTTGTATTTTGTTTCCCCTTAATAACAAACCTTCATTTGTAATCAGCATGATGTGTTTACTTGTGTTATCATTGATTAATATTCCATCTAGTTTGATCTGAAATATTAAAGTGTGACAAACACGCAAATAAAAAACATTTATCATGCACTTGTCAAGCGAGATTTTTTTAGCTTTTTTAGTTGTTTGTTTTTTATCTAATGGAAACAAACATTAAACATAGCACTATGTCAATTTGTGTCACAATAATAAAGGGTTTTTTCTCAAAATCATTATTTTTTCCTTTACTGAGCCATGAATCTTCACTCCAAGATTTACTTACATTTATAGACCGCTTAGTTTTTTTCCTCATTTTCACATACATCTAAAGTTTTTATAAGAGTGTTTGCTTTTGTCTGGTTGTTCAAAGTATTTTCTGTGTTATGATGATAAAAAAAGATATCTAATATCTCTTCTGTAAACTCTTTTTTTTTTTACTCTACCCATATAGTAATCAGATAAATGTAAAATACAGCACATTATATGAAATACAAGTTCATGTATGAATTTGACATATATAAAATATGTTATATATGAAACACATTTTTTTAAATACTGCAAAAATATACATTTGCATTCATTTATTTCAACTACTGGGATTTACATGGTGTGAAAAAGGGGTTGCCTTCTTACTGATTTTTTTAACATGTTTGTCACACTTTATGTTTCAGATCATCAAACAAATTTAAATATTAGCCAAAGATAACACAAGTAAAAACATCAAGCAGATTTTAAATTAGGGTTTTTATGTAATCTATCAAACAATGATCTAAAGCATACCTGAAAGTCCACTACTGAATGGCAGAAGAATAACTTAATAAAGACTTTGTAGTGGCCTAGTTAAAGTCCTGATATAAACCCAATTGAGATGCTGTGGGAGGACACTAAGAAAGCAGTTAATGCTCAAAAATCCTTAGATGTGGCTGAACAAACATTTCTACACAAATGAGTGGGCCAAAGCTCCTCCACTGGAGGAACCTTCATTTCAAAACTGCATGATGTGTGATTTACTTGTGTTATCTTTGATTAATATTTCAGTTAGTTTGATCTGAAATGATAAAGTGTAACATGCCATACAAACATGCAAAAGAAAAGAAGAGAGAAATCAGTAAAAGGGCAAATATATTAGTGATAAGTTTTTATATATGTTCATATATGGCCATATATTAGATTTTCCTTATTAGAAGTATGTAAAAAAACTGCACCTGAAGTCTTTCAGTGTTTTTTTTTATGCTTAAGAAGCATGTAAATCAGCACATATTTATTTAAATAATGTCTCATTTGTGTTTTAAATTTAAGATTTAAGAAAACTTGTAATAAAAAAAAGCTTGCATGTTTGTTTGCAACAATGTTTGTTCTTATTGTAACCAATCAACTGTGGCTATACAGGGATAACCATTAGTTCATATTTTCAACTGCAGTTTCTCGCATTAAAGCAGTGTCTAAACCACAAATGTACACAACACAATATTGGATTTATTATTTTTTTTTTCTAAAGACGGGGGTTAAGTTGTACGGCACAGGTTCTCTTAATAACACAGCCTAATGGCTTTTAATTCTTGTCAGATAAGCTCATGAAAGCACAGGCACATTCTGGGTACAGTAATAGCTTTTTATTTTTGAGTCTCCTATAGTCAGAGCTAATATGGCAAAAAAAAAGCCTTGTTTTGGTAAGGGCTTTACTCATCAGAAGATTTAATGACAAAATATCATCAGTTGGCCATACCTTTTTCATTTATCTCATTAAAGGCTGAAATTTTGACCAGTCTTATTCAGTTGTGGCTGTTTCTATTTTTCAAATAAAGGAAAAAAGGAAGAAAAGCACCGCACATAATATTATATGAAAATGGTACACTATAGTATCGTGCATGTTTGCAGCAATGGAACAAATCAAGAGACCACTTGAAAAGTATCTCTGACATTATTGAATTTATTAGGTATAGGTTTGAGTATATTGTTGATATTAGTTTTTTTAAAGAAGCATTTTTCTGTGTTTTTTAGAAAATGATGGGTTATTCCAAGTTATAACTCTTCTGAAGTTAAATTATTGGTACTGCAATGACTAAAATGAATGTAAAACATTATTTTTGCTATTTCTTGTGGAGAAAAAAACTCTAAATGGCAATGTTTTGTAAATTTGGTAGAAGTTTCATTAGTGGTTTATGGATTTGAACAAATCTTTTACTCAAACATAACTATATATAAAATGTAAATCCAGAGAAACTGACTATTTTCAAGCGGTCTCATGTTTTTCACATATATATTTATTGGAAAACATAGTGTAACTGTGTTAAACATGTGCAGTTGCATTTTCATTAGCTGTTTTTTGCAATTTATATTCCCTCTAATACACTAAAATGACATTTGTATAAGTACTGTATGTAACTGATGGCTTCGTAAACAGTTATAGCAAGTCCCACACATACACATATTGTACATAGTCTTAACAATATCCCCACATGATCTGGCTTTGCAGACAATTACAAAAAATAATTAAATCAATTACATTTTACAAAAAAAAGAAAAAAAGAAAAGCAACTAAAAAAAAAAAAAACTCAAAAATATGAGAATTGGCTCAGAAAATTTCCTTTACCAGAACTTCTGGATTAAGGTTTGTTATTTCACTATACTGCATGAGGCACGATTACAGCAAAGTTTGTGTTTCTGACAGGTCTCTAAAGGTAAACGTAAAACTTTTTATAGACCTCTCTCTAAAGCCCAGTTATATAGGAATATTTAATGGATAACCCGAATAGATGCCAGTTACATATGATGATGCATTCTCTAAATGTAAATTTATAGAAGTACACAAAAAAGTACACTTTATATCAGTAACACGCTTTAAAAAAATTCATTTTACAAAGAATATAGTACACTGGAGACTTTCAAGAAGTACTTCATTCAATTAAAAAACTATCTTTCGTTTTAATTTAATATTATTTGTTTTATTTTTCAATTAATCTATTTTAAGTTTAAAGCATAGTTAAATAAAAAATGGTTTTGATTAAGAGCTCAACTAAAAAATATTTGACTGACCAATGTAAAATTTTAAGGTTACTCACACAGGCAAGTGCAGGAGGTCAAGATGCTTTGTACTTACATGGACTAAGAAAATTGTTGTTTTAAGGCAAATTATTTATTTTTCATTAGCTCAAGTGATCAAATGTAGATGTGAAACCATTACTCTATTTTTTTTATTATTGGATGAATGAACATTTTATAGGAACTTGCTTAGAACAAAAAGATAATTTAAATTAATTGACTTTCTTCAACAAGACAAACATGCTTTGTACCAGGTTATATAAAATTGTTCATATGGAAATAGAAAATATTGTTTAAGGCAATTTATTTGTTTTTCATTTTAGACAAGTGGTGAAATTTAGATGTTAACCATTACCCTAATCCTATTTATTTATTTTTTTAATTGGATGAATGAAAGCTTTTTTCCAGTGCATATAGGTTTATAAATCTGCTGCCAAATAGTGTATAACTTGCATTGTACTTTCTGATGTGATGTTCTTGATCAGTATTTTTCTATTGTTAACCAGTGCAAATTTATAAACATCTCAAGTCAAGATTTACATGCAAAGCAAAATGACACTAGGTAAAATGTCTTATTTTATTTATTTATTTTTTACAAAGATTACTAAGAGATGAAAATAGACAAAGAAAAGATTTCTGTTTACAAAGAGAAGCAAGTATGTGATCAAAACAAGAACAAATGTCTACTAATGGGCCAGGACAAAAAAAAAAAAAAATCCTACTACAGTATGTTGCAAATAATTGTTCATGTTATAAAAATTAAAATTACATTAAAAAAAACAAACGTATTTTCCTCATGTCAAATTCCAAGTAAATGTATCTTGACCTCAGGATGTTTAGATATTTGCATTGGAAAATAGATATACTTAAAAATATGTAGATTTTTTTTTGGCAATGACCTCATGAATTTACAACTTTCAACTTTAACTTTATGACTTAAAGTTATGAAAGGACAAAATAAATCTTAAGACCAGCAGAAACCTTAAAAGTTATAATATGCTATAATTATGGATAAATGTGTTATTGCATAGAAAATGCAGACAATTCATGATTCAAAAAATAAAATAAATTCAACATTTCAAATAATACAGTGTCGGCTCAAAAAAATGAGCTTGATGAGTTTAACTGTTAATGTACAGTATTTAACAGACATTAAAGGGGTCATATCCTTTCACAAACATATTTTTCCCTGAGGTCCATTTACAATGTCAGTCAAGTTTCCTCCATCATAAACAAACCTGATTTAATTCAGTCGTAACTGAATTAGCCGTGATCTCTCTGGATGAGGTTTCTTATGTTGTACCTTTAAAACGCTCATACTGTATGCAAACGCCATCTGTGCATGGAGAAACAGTTGAGTCACGTTGCTGTGGGGCAACTCTTTCCAAACATTTACAAATATTCCTAAGAAGGACAAACTGAGCTTTAGCTGCTGTAAACAACCACATTGTAAAAAATGCTGGGTTCCACAAAATTGATTTGTGTTGGGACAACATGAAATAATTATTAACTTGACCAATTTAAGCTTACCAAAGTAACGTTTTTACAAATTGAACATAAAACAATCCATTTGTCCTCAAAATACTATCAAGAATTGTGTTATTTCATCTAATTTTAAATAGTTTAAACAAACAGCAAACATAATTGTTTGAGTGCAGCAACAGAACAAAAACACAAAACCTTTGTAAATAAAGCACCGTAAAAGCACTAAAGCATTAATTGAAAAAATAAAAAGTTTCTGCAAGCAGGAAAACCACTGTAGCTCATAATAATTGCATTTTAAATGGCACACTCAATTGATGCCATGTTGCCGTAAGTTTGAAGCTGGGTGCAAAAAAACGATTTATTGCTGCTTGTTTAAACTACGTCTTTAAAATAAGCTGAAACAACACAAACATTGAGATTTTATTTAGATAACTTAATTGTTTTATTTTCAATCCACTTAAAATTGATTTGTGTTAGGATGACTTGAATTGTGTGGAACCTATGTTTAGAAACACAATTAAATCTGGGAGATGATTATATAACATCTTTCTGATGACCGACATTCGCTCAGATATTTTTAGAATCATTAAAGGGGTGGTCCACTTCGATGTCATATTTTATTAGTTCATGTGCAATGTAGATATGTGAAAATCTCCGAATATAATATGAACAAAGAGGGAGATATTGGCTTTTACAGAATTGGCTTAGCAAAGCCTACAGCGAGGCACTGTAATGTTATAGCAGGGAAAGGCTCAAACTGATACGTCTAACAGCTACTCTGACTGACAGTGTTTACACAGCGCAAAATCGCATGCTTGTAGGGGCGTAATGCTTTTCCTGTTGATGTGGAACCGGTCCGCAAATCACAGCCTATTATGTTAGCTGACCAATCAGAGCCTTTTGAGGGCAAGCCTTTTGGAGGAACTAGGAAAATATGGTCGTTTTCATGTTAGCTGAGTAGCAGTATATAAGATATATGAAATAATAACATGATTTTCTACGAATGAAGCATGAGCACAGATTGCTTTGCATCTTATAAACACACCCAAGCCTTAAAAATACAATCTGGACCACCCCTTTAACACAATATTTGAGATGCACTACATTATCAAGTGAAATCATTTAACTTTTTTATGTGTATTCAGGAATGTGTTTGGTTATTGGGTTTATGACCATTTATATAATTATATATTTTTATAAATAGCAAATGCATAATATTTTCAAAAGGTGTGGTTTTCTCTAAGCACACTCAACCTGAAACAGCAATATTCATTTCTCCACGATATGACCCCTTTAATATAAATATTGCACTGAGAATACAAAAAGCACTCCACTTAGCACAGTACCATAACTCGATCCAAAGACTTTAAAAAGCAGAATTTTGCTTAATGGTCAATAAACTTGAGGTTTAAAAAAAGGCAAACATCTAGAGGGCATCAGATTCCCAAAAAAGTAATTTTAAGGTGAAAACAAGCTGTATTTAAAGAAATATATAAATGGCAAGTGTGTTTAACTAAACCAAACTAGACTACACCCCTTATCAAGCATTTATAAACAGTTAAATTGCTCTGAATAATATTGTTTATTATAGAAAACATAATGTATTAACCATTTAGCTTACTAATTTCTTAAAATGATTGACTGTTCTCCTTGAGACAGACTAAATCATAGTTGCCACAGCTTAGTTTGCTTGCCATCGTTGTTAGAAAGCAAGAGCCTTTAAAGCTATTTGACTGCAGAGGTGCAGTGTTGCTGTTTAACTATTGCAGTGTTTTTCACAGAGATACTGGCTTTTTTTTTTGAGACAGAGAGAGAGTGTGTTTGTGTGCCTCTTTTGCTGGTTGTGTCATAAATAACTGCAAATAAAAAGATCACATTGGCATCACTGGTTATTTGGTGACCTGCGTCCACCCTCTGACTGTAAAAGGCTCACACTGGTCACTTTGGCTGTTCTTTGAGCTGCTCCTTCAAGACTCCGGTCTCTGTGGCTCTCCACACGTGCAGGGCACTGCTGGAGGTGAGGAAGAGGAAGAGGATGAAAGCTATGGGAAAGCCAACAGTGTCCACCATTCCTCCAGCCAGGGCACTAAAACTCAGCTTCCCAAGGACCTCCAAAGTGGCCAGAAAACTGTAGTGGGTAGCCTGAATTTTGACACACAGAAAGAAACCTACTTTTTAAAAATGCTTCCAAATACTTGAAAGGTAATTATACATGATGAGAGTGATTGGAGCATTTAAAAATTAGTTCAAAAACCAAAGTAGTTGCGGGCAAAAACAAAAAGAAATACTCATTAATGAACAATAAATGATTATTAATTACAGCTGTGCAATGCTTGTACTGTGGCACTGTTGAACACGGTTTTGCATAAATATTTACAAAATATTAATTAATAGTTGCACTGCCTGACAAAAGTCTTGTCGCCTATCTAAGTTTTAAGAACAACAATTAACAACTTGACTTCTAGTTGATCATTTGGTATCAAAAGTGGCTAATATGAAAGGCAAAGGCCTCTAGATTATGCTGATTCAACTAAAATAAAATATGATTATGGCTTGATTTGGAATCATTTATTTAGGACAGTAAGGTCTGATTTTGCTTAGACAAAAGTCTAGTCATTTAACTGAAATAATGTACTGTATATATAAAGTCAGTGCAGTGGAAAAAGAATTAATATTGTGTATGACTCCCATGAGCTTGGAGGACTGCATCCATACATCTCTGCAATGGCTCAAATAACTTATTAATAAAGTCATCTGGATTGGCAAAGAAAACATTCTTGCTGGACTTCCAAAGTTTATCAAGATTCTTTGGATTCATCTTCAATGTCTCCATCTTTCTCCAGACATGCTTAATAATGTTCACTCTGGTGATTGGGCTGGGCCATCCTGGAGCACCTTGACCTTCTTTGCTTTAAGAAACTTTATTGTGGATGCTGAGATCTTGCTAAAGAATTTGCCTTTTCTTATGGTTTGTAATGTAATGGGCAGCACAAATGTCTTAATACCTCAGGCTGTTGATGTTGCCATCTACTCTGCAGATCTCTCGCACACCCCCATACTCAACGTAACCCTAAACCATGATTTTTCCTTCACCAAACTTGACTGATTTTAGTGAGAATCTTGGGTCCATGGAGGTTCCAATAGGTCTTCTGCATTGTTTGTGATGATTAGGATGTAGTTCAACAGATGATTCAGTGTAAAAGTCTACCTTCTGCCACTTTTCCAAATGATCAACTAGAAGTCAAGTTATTATTTGTTGCTCTTACAACTGTTATCGATGACAAGACTTTTTTCAGGTAGTGTAGTTTTGCTATCTTTTACTAACTACCATACTGACATAGAGCATAAATTAATGTAACTATTAGATAAAGACAATTAAAATAAAACATATCTAAGTCTAAGCTAAAAAAAAAATCTAATTAGAGAATAAAAAATATAAAAAAGATAAAAATTAATAAATTATCTATTCAATATTAAAAATGAAAATACAAAGATAAGACCTAATTAAAAATAACAAACACTGGCGTATAAAAAATAAATGTAACTTTTTCAATAAATATATAAAAAGATTAAATATCAATTAATGTAATTAAAACATTATCAATATATATATATATATATATATATATATATATACATATATATATATATATATATATATATATATATATATATATATATATATATATATATATATATATTTACAGTTATTCAGTAATTTATGGTTATTCAGTAAAAACTATGTTATTCATAAAAAAATATCAGTTAAACAGACATAACTTAAACATAAAAAAGTTACAAAAATGTATATTACAATTAAAAAATTATTATAATATGAAAATATTATTAAATATTAAACATTTATAAGTAATACTTAAAATTGTTCAATGGGCAGTACAAAGACAAGATTCATTACAAGATTTCCTACTGATTCAATTAAACAATGTTATTATTTTAAGCATTTTAATTATCTACTTTAAGTGTTAGATGACAGAAAAGAACAATTTAAAACAAGCAAACATTAATAAATATGCATAATATCAAGCACAAAATCCCAATTATAACTAGTCTCACCAGATATGCAGTGTGATATGCCAATTTAAGCATTCTGAATATTAAGAGAACAGCACAGTGGCGCAGCGGGAAGTACAATCGCCTCACAGCAAGAAGGTCGCTTGTTCGAGCCTCGGCTGGGTCAGTTGGCATTTCTGTGTGGAGTTTGCATGTTCTCCCTGTCTTCGCATGGGTTTCCTCCTGGTGCTACGGTTTTCCCCACAAGTCCAAAAAAATGCGGTATAGGTAATTTGGGTAAGCTAAAATTGTCCGTAGTGTATGTGTGTAAATGAGTGTGTATAGATGTTTCCCAGTGATGGGTTAAACATATCCAGCCACTGTGGCGACCCCTGATTAATAAAGGGACTAAGCCAAAAGAAAATGAATGAATGATGAATAAATATTAAGAATTATCTCTTTTTTATAGAACAAGGCACTCTTAAATTATAGAGAGAAGAGCAAAAGATAAAAGTAACATAAATTAATAAAATAATAAACCAGATTTAAAGTCATGCCACTGTCATAATAGCCTTAATGCAACTTGTCATAATACAAGCACAATTGTTGCTTCTGACAATGTTTTTTTTACAAATATAAAAACAATGACTTGATGCCTATTTATCAATTTTTTACTCTGCTTCAATTCAAACCAGCAGGATGAAAGAGCAGTCTGACCGCCTCTCTCTCTTTCTCTCTTGTCTGGATGTCTGTCTGACTTGGTCTTAATACTCCCTTCCTTCAGATAGGAAAGCAAAGCCAAGTCCATTCCTTCACATGGCCCCGCCACTAAAGTTAAGTGAAGTACCTTTATTCCTACAAACTTGTTTAAGGTGTTCAGTTTCTCCCTCCTGGGCCTTTTCACAAACATTCACAGTATCGGTTTTCGGTCATCTAAAACCACCTTAAAACAAACAGACACAAACACACACACAAGCTGCTCTTGCTACCGTATGCATCTCATAAGCACATTGGAAATTAACCCACAGTCCACAATTTTCCTCCTGAATATTTTCTTGAAGTTTTCTAATTGGTTAGAGATAAAGGGAAAACATAGCGGAGATTCACTTATTGTTTAAATGAGTTTTGTTAGTGCCGTTAATTCAGCTGGTATTGAGTTGATGGAGTGAAAAATAGCAGAGAGAGCAGTGAAAGATCACGTGCGAGCATCGAAGGCCCATTAAAACGGGACAATACAGTCATGTCAAAGATGAACGAGTGGATGAAACGAGAGAACATGGGAGGGGAGAGATATCGATGAACGGTGAGAACAACCATTTATCATCTGGGGGACGCATAAATAAATAAATAAACACATAGAAAATAAGAACAAATCAACAAATAAAAAGAGAGATGTCAGGGTATATACAGAAATCCTAAGGGTAATTTCAAAACCTTTTTAAGACTTTTTAAAGACCTTCTCAGAATATTTTAAGACCTCATTGCCACTTTAGGTTCTAATCAGTATCCAAACCTTTAACTTTATAAACAGTTGTTAATAAACAGTTGTAGTTAAATAAATCACTGGAGCACAAACCATGCAACAGAACTTGGATAAGCTCGGAAGAAACAAAGCTTGAAAGAATAAATTACGCAGTTGTTTTCGGCGACAGGTTTCTGCCAATGTTTAAACCTGTCTTTCTCCAACCAGGAGTAGGCAAAGTTACATTTTCCCATTTTGCCATCCGTTTTGCTCTATGGTTTCTCCACATGTGTAGAGCTTCGCAAATATCGTACCATCACCTGGATGGAGGAGCTTGGCTGGACACCAGCCAAACTAATCATGTGGATCGAGCACACCGTTGTTAATATTAGAAGGAAATTAAATAAACGTATGCTTTTTTTACAGTCAAACACTTTGGAAAATGCTCGAACAAAAATTAAGACCTCGTAAAAATGTGATTAAGACTTTTTAATACCTTTTAAGGGCCTTCATTTACTAATAATTGTTTTATCAACTTTTTTACTTTTTAAGGCCCCCGCGGACACCCTGAATGTTTATAGGGCCACATAGAGCACTGATTGCTGTGAAGACAAGAATTGACTGTTTTTGTTGATATTTGTTCCGCTGTAAAGGTAATAAACACCTGGAATGAAGTCGGGTTACAGTATAACATGGTGAATATCACAATTAGTATATTATGTATTATCTATTTCCTACATTTTTTGGTCTTTTTGAAATTATTCTAATAGAAGTTAAAGAGCAGAATCTTGGGGCACATATTTTATGAAGCACAGTATTACATTTTAAATGAGATATCTAAGAAAAATCTCAATTGGAGAAAATTTTAGGACCTCGTTTACACTTATAGTTTTAAAACGCATTAATTTTTCTACAGTTATGCCTTCCATCCACACTACCCTGGAGTTCCCGAGCTCAGAAAACAGAGCGTTTTGAAAATACTGAAGAGGCCGTTTTCGTTTTTTTTTAAAAAATGCTTCTGCTGCATGTCAGTGTGGATGGGTGAAAATGGAGACGTCTGTAAAAGGAGGCATGGCTGCAACTGATCAAAGCTTTTTCTCAATATTAACTTCACAAAGTTCAGTCTTGCATCCTTTCCAAGTTTGATATGGAAAACAAACTCCCGAGGATACGTCGGGTAAATATTCAAAGGGAACAATCTACTTTATAACATCATTCGCACCCCCCTCGCTACATTGTTTTACTATTTTAATAATAAAATGAAAACATTATATATGGAACTGCCTATTTTCATTTTGATATTAACAACTTAGCAGACACCAAAAATGTTAAAGCATTGTGTAGCTACATACAATTAAAGTCAGGATTATTAGCCCCCCTGAGTTACTAGCCATACGCTGCAGCACATGCCAGAGTGTTTGTGGTCACATGATGTGCGTTTTTAGCGGTGTAGTTTGGACAGAGATCTTTTCAGAAACGCTAGGTGAAACGCCAGAGTGTACGTGGATTGTTTTCATTCTAAAATGCCATTTTAAAACTAAATTGTAGTAGAGTAAAATTGGGCCTTGAGAAACCTTCAAGGTAATTGGTGCTAATCTATTATTGGTAACTTCCATTATTACATAAACTCTATGCAGCTGGCAGCCTAACTTTCAATCAGGTTAGGATCAGGACTCTGGGTTGGCCATTTCTTTTATTTGCCAATTTATCACTTTTTATTATCAAAGAAGTGCTTTCCTGTTGTTTTGTGTGATATTTTCCTGAAAGGACGATGAATGTAAGAAGAAAGTGAATGTTGCCAAAGGAGTTTCTGAACAGTATACATCAAGAAATACCCTTTAAATATACACTTACAGGCATATTTGGATATTTCTGTTTATTATTTTGTGGTCAGTTTTTTTTATAATCAATTTATTTACTGACAATGTGTTACAAAATAGAAGTTGAAGTTTCAAACAATTATTTATATCGCCAAAGTTTTGAACGGCTTGAATGGTGATGTACAAATAAACAGCTGATAAGTTAGAAGATGTAACTGCTTAAAACCTTAGCTGTAAAGAAGGTTTAGAAACCATAGAGAAGACTGGAATTCATCAGGGTTCATTAAATAACACAACCTGCATTGTTCACTGTTCAATGTGCCAGAGCAAGCGAACTACTGAAATATTGCTACTACCAAAGTCATAACCCTGACAAATTAAAAAAGAAATAAATATATAAAAAGAAATCAAAATGTCAAATCTGTGAATGTGAATATACTTTCTGATGTTCATGCTTTGTTGGTGATTGATGAGTTGAAATAGGTTGACGTGTAGAGCTAAAGAGTACGAAATCTGCTTGGTTCTCTGAGTACAGAGTCTCTGAGTATTGACTGACAGATAAATGAGCTTTTGACTGCTGTGATGTGCTCACATATTTGCCAGACAGCAAACACTCTAAGGCTTTCTGCAGCTGACGGCCTGTTCTTAGGCTCTACCTGTCAACGACTATCAAAAACCGTAAGATGCAGGTTTTGTTGTCTTCAGAGCTGTTGAAACTGATTTGTCATGCTGTTGACCTCGGGTGAACACGTGTTACAGCGTTAAGCAATCTATTCTGATGTGTCAGGAAACATGAAAAGCTGCGGTCAGTGAAAAAGTGTGGCGTTTGATACCTGTATGCTCTCCTCGGCTCTCTGTGTGCAGTTCATCATCGTGGTGAAAGTCAGTGTGGTGATCAGACCCGCAATGAAATGCTGCAAACTCAGACTCAGCACCGCCATAACTGAAAAACACAAAGGATATAATACATACAATCAATGCAATACACTGCAAAATATAAAAAGGCTTAGGTTGCAGTCAACTTAGGGCTGGGTGATATAATAAAACTGCTATCTCTATAATTATTTTTCATATTGAATTATAATGATATAGATTTTGATATAGGTTGTTAATGCTTTTAGATTAAAGGCAATGACTGAAGCCACAAAAATTAGAGGGTCCATTAAATGGAAAAACATATTTTCGGCTGGTAAATGTTTTTTGTGGCTGAAAATTCGATATATCTCTAATATTAACACACTTTTAGATTCCTATTGATTCTCATTTCTGCTGGGTGAATGTAGAGTAAAAATATAGAGTAGAAAAGTCCAGAGCTTATTGTTATTGACATCAATTTTATCACGATTTGATTTTATATAATATATCGGCCCAGCCCTTAGTCAACTCATATGCCCACTGCAGGGTTGAATGATGCAAGAAATAGGAAAATGAAAGACTGCTTTTTGCCTGCCAATGGATGTACACATTCTTAGTGTTCTGAAGTGAGTTGATTGGTCAAAAATGGTGTCTAAAATTATTGTTGACCCGTTTCTAGTGTAAATGATCTGACGAATGGGCAAAGAGCCGCAATCATTCTCTGTCAGCATTAATTTTCCATCTTGCCTTATTTTGTGGACAAACCAAACCAAACAATCACAGTCACTGGGATTACTAGACTTACCACTTCTGTGAAAGCCTAACTAAATCCACTTATCTGAAAACAAATATGATAAATAATAAACACACACACACAAAACATAAGCAAAATAAAAACAAAAAATAAACAAACAAAAACAAAAAAAACAAAATGACAAAATGAAAAAGCAAATGTACCCAAAATCAAGCAAATCAAAAGCAAAGAAACAAAAAGCAAAACAAAAACAAAGAAAATAACCAAGTCAAAGAACAGCAAACACACACACACACACACACACACACAAATGCACACGAACACGCACACGCAAAATCAAAAACACAAATCAAAAACACAAAACCAAAGCAAAACAAAAATAATAAAATAACAGTAGACCTTAAATTTGAAAAATACTCCTAACCACTGCCTTGATCATTTCCCCCAGTAAATCACTACAAAATGACCACAAATATTTTTACATTTCTTTATGTTGTGTGAAATTTTTCTTCTGATTATATAAACTTACAGTTACTAAAATGACTGAAATTACGAGTCTGAACATGTGCCTGATGATATAGTGCATCTACACTACAAAAATGTTTACTGCTGCTTGTTCAAACTACCCATTTAAAATGGGCTGAAAAAACACCATTCATGTATATGTTTAGGATAATTTATTTGTTTAATGTTTAGTCCACCTAATTTTGTAAACTAATAAGTTAACTTAGGCGTTTAATGTTGGGCCATAAAAAGGGGTGTTTAAAGTAATTGTTTCTTCGGTGCACCGCGATGCAGACGTGGACAATTCGGTATCGATTCAGTAATAATCATAATCGGTTATTGTGTACTGATGTAATTTATCTCATACGCGCTTTATTGCAGTAGCTTGCTGTGGCGAGGGAGGCGAGAGCGAGTAATTTAAACAGTCCAACTACTTTAAAATGCAGGAACGCAGCACAATTCACTACGTGCATCTTTCTCTGACGTTATTTCACTGCGATTGAGAAAATGAAAGTAAACTCCATTTCTCTCTCTCTATATCTTTCTCTTTCTTTTTCCTCTCGAGTTTTTTCCTACATATCTATCATGGGCAAGCTCAGCTGTGATCGATTGACCATTTATCAAAGTCACTCATCAGTGAACATCATTAATTAGAGGCGTTAGAGCCAATTGCCACCCTTTCTTTTGAGTGTGTGACCAATCATTGGGGTGTAAGAACTTGCTTGTCAATGGTCAGCAGGTATAATATAAAATTGTAATGGTCAGGAAATATAAAATTGTGTATGGAAAGCATTGGCAACGCATCTTGATGCACTGAGATATCAAATTGAACCGAATCGATGGCATGATAATCATAACCGAACCAAACCGCGAGACCAGTGCAGGTTCACACATCTATGGGACAACCTGAAGGAATTGTGTTGGTCCAACTACCTGGTTGAGGGATTTGTAGTCCCTAGCATGCTTTGCGTAGGATTGATTTAAAAGAGGGAAATGTTGACAATAAAAGTTATCTTAGGTGTTTAAAGTTAATAGAAAGACTTGTTAGTTTACGGTTGTTTGCAGAAGATACACCATGAAAAACATTACGAATTGACCAAGAAATAACTAACGCCATAACTCACTACCGTTTGCTCTAGAAAAAAATTGTGCTTAATTTCAGAATATTTACAATAAATAACAATGACAAAAATATGGTTTGTTACTTTGCTCAGTGAGCAATAACTGTCCTAAAATTAGTTCTGAGATCTGTCTCAATCAACTGTTTATATAACTTTAGAAATTTGCTTAAAAAATGGCTCTTTTAGGATGACTTTGAGTAAAACTAAGAGACTTTAAAATGTATGACACATAATAGACACATGATATTATCAGATCTTTAAGTTTAATTTAAATAAAAACACAAATGCATTTAAACATTTATTTGAAAAAATCATGTTGGACCGACTCAATTGTACTTAACTGTGTGAATAGTTTTTTTTTTTTTTGGATTATTGGAAATTGAGATCATCCAGTAAGTTTTTTTTTTTTGTGTGTGTATACTGTAGTGTACTTGGTCTTTAACTTAACTCAACACTCAAGAGCCCTCTCAGACTATTAGTATCAAACTACCAGTTTATGTTGAAAATATAACTATATGTTGCTCCAATTGGCACTTAGAAATTAGTGCTGTGTTGGCCATTCTGAAGTGGATGATTTTATTTACCCAAGTAAAGTCCACTTGGAGCATGACACCGTCTACAATTAAAGTCTCCAAAAATCATGAATCTTAAATCAGTCATTACCCAGGCCCATTTTCACAAAAAAATCATAAAGCTTTCACATCCAGCTCCATCTGAATTATTCACTGGAAATGTTTAGTTCTGCCTAACAAGACTTCTCCATTACTTATCCAGGAACCACAGGAAGGAAAATCAGCTCTTCTGAGGCATCCAGTCTCATACAATATTGAAAAATATTTTCTGCAGAACTTTATCATTCTTTTTTTTTTTTAAGGGGGGTTAGACGGGGTGCAGAGCTGCTTTGTTCCGTTTCATTCGGGAGAGCGGCAAAAAGAAAGACAGAGAGAGAGAATAAAAAAGACAGAGAGATGAGGGAGTTGTCAAACAGAAGCTCGCTGACAAAAACATCTCGACTAAAAAGCCACGACATCCTGGGGAAGAAGTAATACAGTGGCAAAAAATACAGAGTAAAACAGCTAAAACGCAAGAGTTTCCCGGCTTTCTTTTTTCATTTTCATTAAATAAACATTCAAAGCACCTGTGAGAGAAAGAGACAGCGCGGGGCGAAAAAAAAAAAGAAAAACAGGCAGAGGGTATGAATATGGGTTTATTCATTTATCAAAGCGAGCCTTGAGAATACTCAAGGTAAAATAGAGTTAGCTTCTGCAGACAGAGACAGAAACGCAAATTCACTTAAGCAAGTTGAACGGGGAGCGAGTATGTTTGACATAACTTCTGTATGATCACTTCTATATGGTTCATGCATAAAATTTTGCTTGACTTTTGTGCTTAATCCAAGAACTAAGACTGTGAAGACGGTTATCAGAACAGCTCTACGGGAGTCTTGCAGAAGACTCACAGAATAAAAGTTTAAGATAATTTCTCGGAAAAGGCAGCACACTGTTCCAATGCTGGATCAATATACTGAAAGCTTGGCTTTGGTAAGATATCAGTCTCTGGTACATTGGATTTCATATTAAACCTAAGGCAACCAAAAAAAAATAAAACTTTAAGCAAATAATGAAATGAAGTCAAGTACAGTTATTAGCCCCCCCTTTGATTTTTTTTTCTTTTTTAAATATTTCCCAGATTACATTTAACATAGCAAGGAAATTTTCACAGAAGTCTTATTTGTTTTATTTTGGCTAAAATAAAAGCAGTTTTTAATTTTTTAAAAGTAATTTAAGGTCCAAATTATTAGCCCCTTTAAGGTATATTTTATTCAATAGTTTGCAGAACAAACCATCGTTATACAATAACTTGCCTAATTACCCTAACCTGCCTAATTAACCTCATTGACCTGGTTAAGCCTTTAAATGTCACTTTAAGCTGTAAAGAAATGTCTTGAAGAATACTGTATCTAGTCGAATAGTATTTACTGTCATCATGACAAAGATAAAATAAATTAGTTTTTAGAAATTAGTTATTAAAACTATTACGTTAAGTAATGTGTTGAAAATCTTCTCTCCGTTAAACAGAAATTGGGGAAAAAATAAATGGGGGCTAATAATTCAGGGGGCTAATAATTCCAACTTTAACTGTATGTATTTAGCCTGATCTCACGAGGAAACGTAAGTATTTTACGTTTTGTCAGTTTAGTGGCTAATTCGTATGAAAATGTACTAAATCAAAAAGTTACGAATTGCCGTGAGATTGCGCTGATGTATTATATAATTTCCCTCACCCAGAGCAAATGCGTGACTGGCATCTGTGTCTGAGTCTTACTAGCCAATTGAGTGAGCAAACTTTCATTCTACCCAATCAGAATTGCGCAACCAAACTATGTGACACTTCAGAAGCATTAATAGGCAAATTAATCAGTATGTCGCTAATATAGGAATATTTTGGTTTCAACGTCACACACCAAACAAAAACAGGTCATTTGTAAGAGCTGTTGCAGAATTGTTGCCACAGCAAGAGAAAAAACAACAGCCAACGCCTAAAAAAGCACCACAGACTGCAACATGAGGAGTGTCTTGCTAAAAAGTCAACTAAAAGTATTGCCAGTTACACTCAATCTAGCAGTAAAAAGTAAAAAGTACAATTTTACAGTTGTTTGCAGAAGTTACATCATGATAAAACATCAGGAAGGCACCAGAAAATAACTAACGCCATAACTCACTACTGTTTGCTCTAGAAAAAAAATTGTGCTTAATTTCTGAATATTTATAAACAAATTTTAATAAATTTTGAGTAAGTTAGTATCTTTTCAGTTCCTTTTTTTAACTAACACCCACTGCAATTTAGCAGTAAGAAGCTACGATACAGAATATTAGGCTAAAGCTTGCCTACAAAAATCGCTAATCAAATCGAAATCGCAGTATCTGTTCAACAAAATTGCATTTAAATATTTTGCCCAAACCGCACATCCCTATTTGGTACTTAAGTGAAATCTGGAAAATATATGTTGTTTCCAATTACATTGTTCTGGTGAAGTTCAGATGGAGGTCAGGAAGTAAAAAGGAATCAGAGACATAGAGGAAAGTCTGCATTTTTGCAATTTATACCATATTTCAAAGAAAATAGAAAATTAGCACAAATAATGGGCATGACATATCATCAAGAGGGCAGAGTTTTTTCTACTGAACTAAAATATATTAGCCTGTCATCAAGGCAGTATACTGTATAAGCAATTACACTACATGAAAAATACTACAGGAATTACTATAGTTTTATTATTTACAGTTTTATAGTTTATAATTTTGTCACAAGGGTTACATTTCTTTTTTGTTCTGTCATGAATTTACCATCAACAAACATTCTCTGCTGCTGCCAAGCATGTAGACATTTAAGTTACAGTTGTTTATTCCATCAAAACGCCAGTAAATACTTGGATTATTGCAAAACAAAACAGAGATTTCATTGCAGCGATTACATGGCAGGGTACGTTGTTTATATTCTTCTGGATTTTGTGTAAGTGTGGTGGTGCTTGCATCTAGCATTTTATAAACATTACCATATTTATACACATAGCTACACCTGTATCTAATCTTTATTGCTGCTGTCAAACGAATTATCGCGTTCAAAATCGTTGGTACACATGGATGTATTGAATGAATGTTGATTACATGTTGCCTTTTCTTCCATTTTCAGTCAGTTTCTTGAACTTTGCCCCTTTATGAGCAAAAACTTTTGAAAGACTATAAAAGCTGTTCGGCATTTCTCATTTTGGCCAATTTAAACAATTATAAACTACATAAAACAGAAACATTTTGATGTTCTGATAGCGATTCCTATGCAGAAAAATCGCTTCCTGCCCCAAGTCTCGCGCGTCATCAATGATGTCATGTGAAAACAACCTATTGTTTGTGTAACATTCTCCAGATTTCCCTTAAGTACCAAATAAAATTCTGTTGTATAAAGAGTGTAAATGTATTAATTAACCTTATATTATGATTAATAAAATAAATCAAGCAAAATGTAAAAAAAATTGAATTAATCTTTTGATTTTCACTCTGTTTTTGTCTTCTTTCCATTTTCCATCACCTTATGTTGTTTAATGCAACGCTGAGAGTTTAATTCAGACTCACTCTGGCTTAACACCTGTTTACTCAGTGCTAGGTGCTGAAATGGACACTTTAGCCTGTCAGTGAAAAAACACTGGAAACCGGAGACAGGCCTATGGATGCTTAAATGCAGGGGAACAGTAGAAAGCTCAGCGGAGAAGAGGTCAATTTCACTTCTATATATACACACAAATATACGTCGTACAGGTGAGTCATTTGACTCTTATGAACATACTGTACCCACAAGATGCACGAGGGAGTAATAAACATGTTTTGAATGCACTGAAATGATTACGAAAGATGTTTTCCTTTCTGTTTTATTAAAAAAAAAAAACAATGGACAATTTAAAGATGTGTAATTTGTGAGCAGCGCTAAAATATTGAATAATGAATAAAGAAAAATAATAATAATAATAATAAAGAAATATATTCATTAATAAAAGCAAAAGAACACGGTGTGCATGTGCATTTCTCACCTTTCATCATTGGCGAGGGCTCCAGCACTACGAGAAGTGAGCTCTGGAAGACCATGCTTATTGTCCGCATCATAAACACACGTCTCATCAACAGGCCAATACTGAGAACAAAAAAAAAGGAAATTAAAAAAATACAGCTTTAAAAAAATGGGGAAAGCTTAGTTGGTATCATCTTACCAATATGTATTTTTATGCAACATTACATCAATTTATGCTACATTATTACATTGTGCAATATTATATAATTTCACAAGACATTTGTTACATTGTATTACATTATTAGCACATCATTATTTTCCAAGGACGCATTCAAATTGATCAAAAGTGACAGTAAAGATATTTATTATGTTACAGAAATTTGTTAATAAATGTACTAATAATTTAGTTCTTTTCAACTTTTTATATATTAGGACATTTATTATAGATACGGTCAAATCTATCACACTTTACATGAAATATTTTGACAGCTTGATATGAAATTGACCAGCAACTCAACACATCACAATTATTTCTGAATGATATTGTGATACTGAAAACTGACATGATGAAATCAAAGGAATCAAATACATTAAACTCGTAAAGTCATGTGCTATTTTGTGCATTCTGCCAGCATTTTGCCTACCCTAATTTAAAAGCTTCCCAAATCTACATGCAGTGATGTAAATGTTTACAAAAACTTTGGTATAATTTGAAAGAAAACCCTTTGAATTTTCATAAAACACTGTTGAAAGTGATTAAAAATAATTGTATATGCTGTCTGTGTTATAATAAACCTCTCCAAATAAGAGGCGCTTTTTAAAATTGCAAACTCAAATTCGAAAGTGTACCTTTTTAGGCTCTGTGTGGTCTAGGTTGCTGTAATTAATTTAGTTGGTTCCTGCACATAGTTAGTAATCATAGGAAAAAAGAAAAATGTCTATCATAATCTATGCAAAAGTTATTCTATTCCATTTGATGAGAGAACGGAACCACTTATGGGGGGATTGGGCCTGTACAGTCCTTTAAAATTTAAAGAATGCAAAAGTAAATGACGTCACGAACCCGGAACATCTAAACATTGAATTATCAGTTTAACAACAGATAAAAATAATCATACTTCACATCATCACTGTATTTTTGATAAAATATGAAAAAAGATAATCAGTCTTAGTGCTAAATAATATCAACTTACAATACACAATATAAAGAAAACACCACAACAAACTGAAGGCTATAATTTACAGATCAATGGCTGTAAGATATTAATGAGGGTCAAGCACACAGGACTGCCACATTGTGACAGAGAAACACTCTCATACCCATGCTTACATGCAGTGTGTTTTCTAACACACTCTAATTGATTCTCTATTAGCAGTTAAGAATCCCCTGAGTAAACCTCCTTCACAACATAATCAATAACGCGACAAGATCCACAGCCACGGGCTGATTAACCCCCTGCTAATTAGTGACCATCTCACACCTCAATCTCTCCAGCTCCAATCAGAACACCCGGAGGGGCCTGTCAATCACACACATGGGTCTACAGTCATAGCTGTTTTACTGCTGCTTTTCACATCTAATATTTCAAATGTCACAAATGCACAAGTAATGCCCCTTATTGGAACAGAGAATTATATTTAATTACCTTCCTTTCACCTAGCATAATTACCCCCACAAGAGAATTATATCATATACACAGCCTACAAAAACAAATTAAATTAATGTGCAAAATATAATTGTAGCATTGGTTTTGTTTGGGGATTTTACAATACTGAATTAATTAATACTGAATATGCTGGATAACTTGGCGGTTCATTCCACTGTGGCGACCCCAGATTCACAACCAAAGAACTCATTTATAGTACTGATCCAGCTTTAGTACAATTTGTTTATGGTAATAGACATGGCCAATATTCTAGTTTTTTTTATTTTTTATAAGGAATGATAATTCATGCACATGTTTTGACAACTAATATGACAGTGATTTAATGCTTCGTAAAAAGTTGAAGACACCTGATACCGATTATAAAGTGCTTTCTGATGCAAAATCAATTTAAGGAGACATTTAGAATAGGCCTACTAGACTAAGAAACATTGCTCTAAAAGTAAAACTGCTAAATAAAATTGCTAAATACTCTTGACACTTGAAAGTGTAAAGCCGGCACAGCCCACAACAATGATGGCAAGTTACTGCATAACATATTTAACAAACCGTTTACTACGAATACTATGTAGTTCTGTTCACATGGATAAATGAATATTAATCAAATGATGTCATTACGCTGTTGTGCCGTCAGCCAATCGTTGCATTGCTGATCATGATTTCGAGGATCATTAGTACAGTCCTTCACAACAAAAGCAGAGATCTCAGATCAGTTCATCCAGACATTTTAATCTAATTTGCAAACTTGTCTGAAGAACCAAATTAGCAAGAGATCAGATATCAAGATTAAAAGATACAGAATCTGCTAGATCTCAGTCATCTGAGATCATTTAAGCAAAGTACGAAGAATGGACCCCTGTGCCTCTGATTTAAGTTATTTAATTGGCACCAAAATAAGGCACTGAAACCTGCATTCTGATTCGCTCCAGTTCTCACAGTAGTTAATGATGACAGTTTTGATTTTAGAGTGAACACACCTTTTAAAGCAGTCAGACCACAAGATTATGAACCAGGCTCAAGTTCAGCTCTAGTGACGAAATGCGTTGCATGACAATGGGCTTGACTCGTCTTTAAGGTTACAAAACAAAGCACAAATCACATTTTGACATAAAAGTCTACTGCATTTGAATAAACTCTGTGGCCTGTTGCACAGAAAGCGAATAGAAAAAGAGAGAAAGAGATGCGGGTAAAGGTCAACTGGACTTTAAGAGAGGAGTAAGGAATCGTCTGTCATCTTAAACCAGTCTTTTAGATCTAGATGAATCCAGTCCACAACAGCCGCCGGTCAGACAGAAAGCCAATCTGCCATCATTCTCATGCAAACACCCTCCCTGCATCCCCTCAATAACACTCTTTCATATTTCACTCAGATGAGAGGAGACAGACAGAAAGAGAGCTGTAAGAAAGACAGACAGGGTCTTAAAGAGGAAAAACAAGCAACTTCAAGCGAGAGAAAGATTGAGACAGAAAAGGGTGTTAGAGATCGAAAGTGACTTTAAAACAGACGTATCACACGAGCAGTTAGTCCCGATAAGATTCGTACTCTCAGATTGCTGATGGCGATCAGTGTATGGGGGTCAGTTTTTGGCCACTCAAGCATTTCAGATGGGGCCGGGATAAGTGTCCAAATTAGCTTTTAGTGGCCCTGAACAGACAACGGCAGAAACCCAATCTGTGGGAAGCAAGGCCTGAATGCACGACTGTGTCGAATGAACGAGCCCCCTGCGTGTGAAACTTTACATTCCTCTCCATTCACTAACACTGCCTTTAGCACAGAGACAGGGCAAGAGAAAGAGAGAGAGAGAGAGAGAGAGAGAGAGAGAGAGAGAGACTGAAATAGAAAGAAGAACAGAAAGTGACTGAAAGAGAGACACAGGTTACAGAGAAAGGGGAAGAAAAAAGAGTGAGAGAAGCACAGGTAAGAAAATTTGAGAGAAAGCAGATATTCACTCTGACTTTTTTCAGCTTTTGGGACTACACTTTCTCTCCTTTCACCAGCATTTTGAAGGCATGCTAATTTAAGCACAAAATCTTAAATTCAAATCACCCACAGATATTTCACCTAAATTAAGCCTTCCTGACATTAGACTTTGGGCATGTACAATTTGTACGGGTGCTGCAACGGTTGTAGCGTGACACCTTTTTAAAAAAAAAAAGCCAAATTTAATTTATATCCAAAATATTAAAATTAATGCAACCTACACCACTTTATTACAGCACTGCAATCCTGCAGATTTAAAGTTTCAGTTCTTTCAGTTAATCTAATGCCAAGTTTAGACTGCATGATTTTCAAAGTAGTCGTGTCTCAGATGTTTTCACACTGCATGACTATCTGGGCTGCCTTCAATTGTTGCTGTGTTTACACTGTAGGAAGGATCGGCGACAGGAGGTTTCACACCGCATGACTCTACAATAGGAAGAATCACCGACAACTTTTGTCTCAGTCTGCAAACTACATCTCACAACCAAACACAAGCGAGAAGTGAAATGGAAACAACGCAAGGTCATGTACAGTAGTGTATCTTTTGGTATTAACTACATGAGAAAGAAGCCTTTAGTGGGGTAGAAAATGTACTTAATTTGCTCCCCTGGTGTATTGAAGGGAATTAGCAGTTTATTTACTTTATTTCTTTTTCGACTCGATTGTGATATTGCTCAGATGACAAGTCAAACACACACGAGTGCTCCTGTCAAATTTCCACTATTGTTTTTCCTCCACTTCTAGGGTCCAAATAAACTGAAAATGAGGCCCAGATATTTAGCATGACAAAAATCTCATAGGTGTCAGTGGCTCATCTGCGATTCTCTCAGATCGCGTCTTTGGTAGTTCACGAGCACCAATGAACGAGCACCAATTTGCCTGTGATTTCAGGCCTTTGTTGGCGAGTTCTCAAGACTTGTTGTCAAAATCGAGGCTAAAATCATGCAGTCTGAACTCAGCACAAGAGGTCACACAGTGAGATTACAATTGGTCACAAACCCTCACAGGTTAACAATAACTTTTGAATGCAGCAAAATTGAAATCAACTTTGCAATAACATGATCTCCCAAATGCGTGTCTATAAACAGAAATTGCGGCAGCACAGTGGGCACTGGGTTAGGACTGTTGGCGTTTCTGTGTGGAGTTTGCATGTTCTCCCCGTGTTCTCCCCCCACAGTTCACAGACATGCGCTTTAGATGAATTGGAGAGCAATTTGGTAAACAAAAATGACTGTAGTGTATGAATTTTGTGTGCAAATGATAGAATGTATAGGGGTTTCCAGTGATGGGTTGTGCAAGGAAGGGCATCTGTCGGATAAAACATATGCCAGAGTAATTGCCGGTTCATTTCGCTGTGGTTACCCCTGACAAATCAGGAACTAAAGGCTGATTTTTACTTCTGCGTCAAGTGATTGAAGTAACCCACATCACCTGCCTTGCACATAGCTGTGCATTTATACTTCTGCGTGCTTTTGGTGTTGCTCTGCAATAACACTTCCAAACGCTAGATGGCAGTGATGTTTTTATGTTCCTCTGTGTCGAGTTTCTTCTCTTTTATTTTAATGCTACCTTAATGTACAAGCTCATTCAGAGGCGGGAACCAGCGGACGTGCAAAAACTTTAATCTTAAGGTCAACACAAAACAAAAGTTTCCATCTTGAGCTCCTTCACGGGACTCGACAATTGTACACACCCGCTCCATCAGGCTTGATGCTCTCATTACCGCCCTCACTCGTCACCACTAGCAAGCCGACCAATCACAGAGCTTGACCTGCGAGTCACTGCGATGTGTAGTTAGAATTTTTCAGGGGTGCACATCAGCATCAGCAATGGTGAGGGCTATCAGCCTGATCTCACGAGAAAACAGTATGTTACGCTTCGCCAGTTAAGTGGCTAATTCATACGAATTTAGTCAGATGAAAATGTACGATTTGAAATAGGAGGCATGGCACCTAATCCCACCACTAAACCCAACCGTCATTGAGAGATGAGCAAATGGTACTAAATTGTACGAATTAGATTGTATGAATTCATACGAATTAGCCACTAAATCAAAAAGTTACGAATTGCCATGAGATTGTGTTGGGGCTATGCAGCCGCATAAAGGCTGCGCCGGACCATACGCGAGCGCTTGGCGCAGGAGTATAAATCTGCCTTAAGGTAAAGTTAGTGAGTGAGTGAGTGAGTGAGTAAATTAAATTTAATGCAACAAAAAAGTGCATTGTTATCAGGTGTAAATACACAGCCTAGCATAAACAGCACACTATGGGTGACGTTACTTTCAGTCTATTAACAGACAAACATTACATCATTTTAACCAATGTACACTACATACCCAAGGTAAGCATCAATGTAAAAATCCATATAATGCATTCCATCAGAGTGTAAAACTGCAATACAATGCAATGTTTCATTAAGTCATAACGTAAAGCAAAACAGCCTCAAGAAAGGGTTACACAGGCCACTATGAGGAGTATCACTTCACTTTAAACTCTGCCTTCAAAAATGTCTGCCCTTAAGTCTGCAATGGAATAAAGGCAGAAAGCACTGCACCTGTCTTTCTCCAAAATCCACTATCCACGTGCCTCTGTGCATGGGTTTGTGGGCCAATATGGCTTGAGGTAGATAAGCCACTTTGACTGCTCCTGGAACAGTTCAGGTAACCAAACTCCTACATTAACTATTACAAGACATAACTGGTAAAAAAAAGAAACTCAGTTCAGTAGACAAGGGCATCATATCAGCATCAAGTACATCTCTATTCAAGAAGTTCAACCTTATGCATCCTGGAGGCCTTTCAGCTCACACCTGAGCCTGCTTTACTCTCAACTCCCACAAAAGGCTGTGTTTACTTCCATTACTATCTCTCTTTCTATCTCTCACACACACACTCTATCTCTTTCCCTCTCCCTCTTTCGCGCCTGGGGCCGAGATGGGTGGAGAGATATAGTGAGAAAACACTGAGAAAAAGAAAAGGGCCACGTTTCTTTCACAGAGCGATGGTGGGCTAAAGAAACCGATAAAGCAAGAGGGGGTTTAGAAAAAGGTGCAAGGAGGAATCCAAAGAACAAAGGCTCCCAACACCATTCCTGCAACATTAATGGCAAAGCGTGACTTGGCTGGAAAAGGGTGTTGCAGCTTCAACGCAGTCAGTTTCACCATCATTTTATTACAAAACAACAAAACACACTCCCTACCTGTACTGAGAGAGCAAAAATCCCCCAATTGACGAGCCGCAGATGGAAAAGGCCATGGCAACAACCCCATTCCAGACCCCCAGCTCTCTGGCTGTCATGTGGTGGTCCAGCAGGAAGAGAGGAAACATGGTGATCGCCCCCTGTTCACCTGCACAAGAAAACACAGGATTACATCAGCACATACAGACGCAGCTTGGTCATTGTAAATGCTCTTTTTTCTTAGAAAACTCTGAACTTCAGACACAAAAAATTGACCAGATTATTGAAAATATGTTTCTCTCTTATCACGTTGCATCAGACTTTTCTGAAAACTGGGGTTAAAGGGACAGTTGACCCAAAATAAAACTATGTACTCAAACTATGTACAGTTGCCTTGAATGGGGCTGAAGCACACTTGTCCCCCCTCCCATCTCCCCCGACGGCCCGCACTCACATCGCATTTGGACCTGAGCACACCAACGTCATCAATGATGCACTGTTCAGTAAGAAGCCCTCTCGCTCTGCAGTGGACATTTCTTTATATCGTTTTAGTCATTTGATAAGCAGTGACATGCAGTCAAATATTTCACCAAACAGATCAGCCACTTTTGACGCTCATAAACAATCATAAAGTCCTCGTGCTGCAGGAATTAGGAGGTTTGCTGAAGGTGCAGCTGTCGTGCAATGAGGGGTTTGTCATCATTAATAATCTAAGACAGTTTGTGCTCATTGAACAGTAAGAATGATTAATAAACTCATATGAAACAGTCCCTTAAAAGTCACGTCTGAGCTCAAGTGAACCACGCACTGGCACACCTCTTCCAACCGGGCCAGGGTGAACCGTGCCCGAGCCCGATTCAGAGCACTCACACATCTCAAACGATCCTGGAAACGGGCCTGGGCACGTTTCAGATAGCATAGTGTGAGAAATCACTTGAGAGTAGGTAAAAGTTTAATACATTTTTAGATTCGGGTGAACTATCTTTTATATTGTCCACAGATCATAACAAACACAAAGGGATTTGACAGTCATCATTTACTCATCAAACCTGTTTAAGTTTCTTTCTTCTGTAAAAGAGGATATTTTGAAAAAATGCTTAAAACCACTAACATTAGCCAGCTGTGTCTCATTTCAGAGGCTGCATACTCTGAAGGATGTAGACTTTAAAGGCCGAACCGAGCCAATTTAGGCAATTTTCACAGAGCTATCGTAACAGCTGCCATTAATAAGCAGTAATAAAAATTGTAATAACTTTTTTACAAAGTGATTTCAAAACTTACGTTAAGTAATCTAAACAAGGTTTACAAATGCTGGAAATATATTCCTTTGTTCCATACATGTACACATGAAAATGTAAACTGTCTATAAAATCACTTTTTGTAAGACATTTCATACTCTTTGTTTTTAACGTGTTTAGAGGCGTCACGGTGCTGCAGTGGGTAACACGCCTCACAGCAAGAAGGTTGCTTGCTCGAGCCTCGGCTGGGTCACTTGGCATTTCTGTGTGGAGTTTGCATGTTGGCGTGGGTTTCCTCTGGGTGGTCCGGTTTCCCCCACAAGCCCAAAGACATGTGGTATAGGTGAATTGAATAAACAAAATAGTCCGTACTGTAGGTGTGTGAATGAGTATTGATGATGGATGTTTCCCAGTGATGAGTTACAGCTGGAAAGGAATCCACTGCGTAAAACATATGCTGGATAAGTTGGCAGTTCATTCCGCTGTGGCAACCCCAGATTAATAAAGGGACTAAGCCGGAAAGAAAATGAATGTATGAATGAATGAACATGTTTAGACATTCAAGTAAAATAACTTTATTCATACATTTAATCTAGACTTATCTTTTAAAAATGTCCTGCCGTTATCAGCGTGCAATGAATCTTCTAAAGTTCGAGGCCGCAAAGGATCCAGCAGTTGTGTCCTTCATCTGGGAAACTAAGGAAGCATTTTGAGGCTGAATTTGAAGGAGCCTTTGAATTTTTAAAACAATGTGACAGCCTTTATCGGGACGTGATGACACAGCACCCTTCGAATTGCATCCAAAGGAGGATGCTGTCAGGGTTCTGCCACTTTAGTCTTGTAAATTCTTGTTTTGGTGGCAGAGCTCTGACACTACTCCATGTCTGGTCCTGTTTCTGTCTGTGTGTGCGCGCGCCGTCGTGGGTGTACGCAGAGTGCGCGCTGCCACTTGATGTGGCCGCGCGCGCTCTGCGTCCCTCAGACGCGCGCGCTCTTGTACTAGTGTTTGTGTTTGTTCTGTCAGCAGCGCGCTGCTTTATTCTCGGCGCCTCCGTCTAGTTGGTTTCAGTTTTGGTTGGCGCTGAGATGAAGCATGCGCGTTGCTTATGTGTGAGCGCACGGTAAGGTGTTAATCTATCGTGTGCTCGTGTCTTGCGTCTCTTGTCAAAGCACGTGGCTTGGTGTTTACATTGTGGTCACGTGCTTTTGTCGTGTGCTTCAGTGTTGCGTTATGTGAGCGCATGGCTTGTATTGTCTCTCTGTGTCATGCGCTCTCCCGTCTATTGTCTAGTCCCACCCTCCTTGTTTACTCATTATTAGTTTGTCATGTTCACCTGTGTGTCAATTTACTTTTTGCTTTATAATCCCCCTCATGTTTTCAGTCATTTGCCTGTTCGTCGTCGTTATTTCCATGTCGTGTGCTATCCAGTCCTGTTTGTCCTGTCAGCCCATCCAAGTTTGTTTGAGTGTTTGTTTTATAGTTATGTTTTTCCCCCTCGGGGTGGTTTTTGTTCTAATTTTGTTTTATTTTTATTATCAATAAATCATCCTGTTTGCACTTGAGTCCTCGCTCCCTCATCCTTCCTGAACCCTGACAGTACGAACAGGCCAAACAGAGGACTCAGCAACAGGATGAGCATATTTATCCTTCCACCCACCACAGCAGAGGAGAGACAGAGGCGCCTTCAGGGGCTGGTGTCGGCCCGCCAGCAAGGTCTGGAGGTAAAAAGCTTTGCCCAGTTTTTTTGGACTTATGCTAGGGGGCTTGAGTTTGATGACGCCACTCTGAAGGAAGCTTTTAATCTCTGTCTCGAAGAACCCCTGCCACAGTGGGAGATGGATCAGCTTGGGGTGTTGGACTTCTGGGGCTTCTCACTTTATCTCCACCACCGCAAGGATTGGCAGATCCTCACACCACCTCCAGCTGATTGTGGCAAATACTCCACCCCTCCTTCCTCTACGAGTGCAGCTCATGACCTCCCTCTGACTCGGTCGAGTAAACGGAGGCTGCAGAGAAAGAGGGCTGCCCAAACTGCTGCATCAGCCCCTGAGCGCCCTCCAGTGTCGGCTCCAGCCCCTGAGCGCCCTCCAGTGTCGGCTCCAGCCCCTGAGCGCCCTCCAGTGTCGGCTCCAGCCCCTGAGCGCCCTCCAGTGTCGGCTCCAGCCCCTGAGCGCCCTCCAGTGTCGGCTCCAGCCCCTGAGCGCCCTCCAGTGTCGGCTCCAGCCCCTGAGCGCCCTCCAGTGTCGGCTCCAGCCCCTGAGCGCCCTCCAGTGTCGGCTCCAGCCCCTGAGCGCCCTCCAGTGTCGGCTCCAGCCCCTGAGCGCCCTCCAGTGTCGGCTCCAGCCCCTGAGCGCCCTCCAGTGTCGGCTCCAGCCCCTGAGCGCAGCTCAGTGCCGGTCCCAGTCCGGCTCCTTGCCCTGCCGGCGCCACCCAGACGTCTTGCCCTGCCGGCTTCAGCCCGGCTCCTTGCCCTGCCGGCGCCACCCAGACGTCTTGCCCAGCCGGCCCCAGCCCGGCTCCTTGCCCTGCCGGCACCACCCAGACGTCTTGCCCAGCTGGCTCCAGCCCGGCACCTTGCCCTGCCGGCACCTACCAGACGTCTAGCCCTGCCGGCCCCAGCCCGGCTCCTTGCCCTGCCGGCACCTACCAGACGTCTAGCCCTGCCGGCCCCAGCCCGGCTCCTTGCCCTGCCGGCACCACCCAGACGTCTTGCCCAGCCAGCTCCAGCCTGGCACCTTGCCCTGCCGGCACTTACCAGACGTCTTTCCCTGCCGGCACCTACCAGACGTCTAGCCCTGCCGGCCCCAGCCCGGCTCCTTGCCCTGCCGGAACCTACCAGACGTCTAGCCCTGCCAGCCCCAGCCCGGCTCCTTGCCCTGCCGGCCCCAACCAGACGTCTTGCCCTGCCGGCCCCAGCCCGGCTCTTTTCCCTGCCGGCCCCAACCAGACGTCTTGCCCTGCCGGCCCCAGCCCGGCTCCTTGCCCCGCCGGCTCCCCTCTGGTCTTCAGCCCCGCCGGCTTTAGTTAAGTCGCCTCTAGACCAGCCGGCTCCCCACAGGCCTTCATCCCAGCCGGCTCCCCACAGGCCTTCATCCCAGCCGGCCCCCCACAGACCTCTGGTCTTGTTTACCCTCATAGACCCTCCCTGGGTCGTCCCTCCTGCTCCTCCCTGGTGTTCCTTTCCTCCACCCTGGACGGACCCACCGGCTCCACCCTGGTTCCCTGCTGGGGCTCCTGACCCACTGGACCCACCCTGGACTGATCCTCCCTTGTCTTGCCCTCCCATCCCTCCCTTGTTTGTCGTTTTGGGTCTGGCTTGGCTTCCCTCCCTCCCCCCCTTCATGTCGTCTTGCCTGTTCACCTCCCTGTCTTGTGTCTGTTGATGTTGCCTGTTTTGTTGTCTTGTAGTGTTTCTTGTCTGTCTTGTACCTTGTTGGATGTTCCCTTTAGGGACGCCAGGTGGCGTCCCTTTTGGGGGGGGGGCTAGTGTCAGGGTTCTGCCACTTTAGTCTTGTAAATTCTTGTTTTGGTGGCAGAGCTCTGACACTACTCCATGTCTGGTCCTGTTTCTGTCTGTGTGTGCGCGCGCCGTCGTGGGTGTACGCAGAGTGCGCGCTGCCACTTGATGTGGCCGCGCGCGCTCTGCGTCCCTCAGACGCGCGCGCTCTTGTACTAGTGTTTGTTCTGTCAGCAGCGCGCTGCTTTATTCTCGGCGCCTCCGTCTAGTTGGTTTCAGTTTTGGTTGGCGCTGAGATGAAGCATGCGCGTTGCTTATGTGTGAGCGCACGGTAAGGTGTTAATCTATCGTGTGCTCGTGTCTTGCGTCTCTTGTCAAAGCACGTGGCTTGGTGTTTACATTGTGGTCACGTGCTTTTGTGTGTGCTTCAGTGTTGCGTTATGTGAGCGCATGGCTTGTATTGTCTCTCTGTG